TCCTTCCTTCCTTCCTTCCTTCCTTCCTTCCTTCCTTCCTTCCTTCCTTCCTTCCTTCCTTCCTTCCTTCCCTTTCCCTTCCTGCAATACTGTATGGAGGAAACAGGTAATAATGGTAGAAATGTGTGAGAGATCAGAATTCATGTCATCCCTGTTGTATTGCAAGCAGGAAAAGCTAAAGCAAAGATAAATTTTTTCTCTTGCAGAAGACAAGCTGCTGAAACACGTTTAGCTTTAACATTTGCTCCAAAAAGAAGCATCACCAAAAGAAATGCTCTAGAACAGTGGTGGCAAACCTTTTTTGGCTCCCATGCCGATAATTACGCACCAGCACCCAGAAGGCAATGCGTGCTGCCCCCCCCCACACCCCCTGCGCCTGCGTGTACAATCCCCTTGCTGCACGCCGTGTATCTACGCCTGCATGCATGATCACCCCCCACGCACCATGCATCTGCACATGTGCACGCGATCACTCCCATACCCCATCTGCGCATGCAGTGCAATCACTCTGCGCACTGCGTGTCTCTGCATATGCACATGCGACCCCCCCAGCACATCTCTGCGCATGCATGTCTCCCGCACATCCCTGCCCCCCTTCGCATGTGTGCCAGATACCTGACAATCAGCTGTCGGGCGGCAGCACGCGCTCATGTGTAGTGGGATTTTCCCAGGAGAGCTCTCACGTGCTAGGGGAAATGGCTCTGCGTGCCACTTCCGGCACACATGGCATAGGTTCACCATCACGGCTTTAGGAGTCTAGGAAGAACAATCTTGTAACAGACTCCTCCATCAGAAATTTAGCCTGAAGATCCAGAGCAGAATACTGGCATACATGTAGTATGAAATATGTGCTTGCAACACTGGATCAATGGCTTGAAATAAGGAAGTGAAGCATTACAAAGAAAGCCTAAAGGCAATCTGATTAAATGATTTCAGCATTCATTTCCAAAGTACATGTGAATCTGAGGAATCTGAGGTGAAGTTTCTAACTTAATCTCAGGCAGTATACTTTGAAAAGAAAAAAGGCAGCTGAAGCTCAGGATCTCAGAGGTTCAGGAGACTTTTGTAGGGGAAGGAATGAGCTGACTTCAGACGTTGTCTAAAGGATGTACAGTAAGTTAATTGAGATGACTTTCCAGGTGTATGCTAATTACACCTGCTGCAAAGGCAAACTTGTCTTTTTGCTGAAGAGAAAATGAAAGACCTGAAGCTTTTTAAAACTTAATTAGATAAGGGGAAGAGTGCACAGGTAATGCATGTGATATGAAGGGGAGCAGAATGAGAGCTCAGGAGTTCAGAACATTGTAAATTGCCAAGGAGTAGTAAAGATGGGGAACGCCAAAAAGAAAGAAGATATCCCAGAACTTTCTACTTGGCCAAAAATACATATCTGGGCTTATGTTGAGAGCTTTATATTTTATATTGGTCTATATTTATATTGGTCTAAGTTAGAAAATATTTGGCAGGTAAATAGCTTGCACCCTCTCCCAAAAACATTTGTTTTCTTTTTATTTCAGAAAAAATGCAATTTCAAGACCAATTATGAAAGCATTACAGGAATCAAAATAAGGGAAAAGTGAGAGGTCATCTGGCTTAAGACATTCAGTGTTCCCATCCCATCATAGACTAAATCAGTGGAGAAGAGATAGTAATGACAATCACTCTTATGGCATTGATATGTTTTATATTAGCAGAATCACACAGTAAACTAGTAAAAGGCATATAATACAATGCACAAATTAGGACTTAGTCTTGACTACTAAATTCCTGTTCAACTTTCAATAATTTCCCACTGATAATTGCCTATTGATCCATCTTACTGGAATGCATTAATTACTAAGATTATCTATGATAAAACACATTTCATTTCTCTATAATTTTTTCATCCACTTATGAAATTTGTTTTAAAAACTCCACAATGAAAATTCATTCCAACTTTTAAAGGAAGTAATGTTTTTCAGAATAGTACCTCAGTTTCACACATAAATGTCCATTAGATCAAGGATTTGCCTATTAAACTGAGTATTTGTTCATTAAACCCAAACTGTATTGTAAATGATGTTATTTATGTCAGTTAATTGTGCAAATTATAAAAACTGAAACAGATGCAATAACATGGATTTAATAGACATTTCGACTTAACAGACTCTTCCATCCCCAAATAGTCCATTAAATTGGGTTTAATTACCTCAGATACCAGGAAAAGTATTATCTATAAATTTACATACTTAAGATATAGAAACAACTGTCTGAGTCTTCCAAAAGATGCGGCTGTCTTAAAGCTTTAAAGAGAAGTCCTTTGAGACCTTTGAAGAAAAGTCTGTAAAACATCTCTTTGTGTAATTTGTACGGATTTCAGATATAGTACTGCAATTTTTATAACATACTGTAAGCATTGTTGCATAAAAATATTGCTTCATAAAATTCAGACATATATATGAAAATCATAAGAATGTTCCACTTCATAAAAATGTAAATCATTAAAATGCACAGATTAATTTTCTCTCATACATACTATCTACTTGTTTTTCACCAGGATTTCAATGGTAACTTCATGCTTCAGATTTCCAGAAGTAATCAACCATATTCCACAATATAATTTCAGATCTATTTCTGTTACAGTTTTTAAAGTCTATCTTACATTAAAAATGCACAATTCTATATTTTGCTCTTTATTGGAAAACATAGATTAAATGTAAGAAAGGGGTAGAAATTATGGAGCAGGTGGAGAGCCAATAGCCTGGTTTGAGACCTGAGCTCTGTGCAACAGAGTGCGGTTACTTGCCGCAACTCCTGCCCACCTAGCAATTCAAAAGCATTCAAATGCAAGTAGCTTAATAGGTACCACTTTGGTGGGAAGGTAACAGCATTCCATGGGCCTTTGGTGTTTAGCTATGCTTGGCCACATGACTACAGAAACTGTCTGAAACTGGTTCTCTCAGCCAAAAAATGGAATGAGCACTGTGCCCTTCAGTTGGACACAACTGATAGGGAAACTTTTACCTTTACCTGATGGAGGCCAGACTAAGGAAAGGTGAGTTGAAATCACTTTCCATCTTGCCTCAAAACACAGGTGCGGCAGACAAGAAGTCTAAGGCATCAATCATATATTCAGCCTTTCCCAGAAAGCATATCTGGCATCAGGCCAGCCCCAGAATTTTCAGAACTCTGAAACATAGCAAGAAGCCTGGATTTTCACCACTAAGGCCAAGTCCCAGCTGTTCAGTAAGACAGACCTCTTTTCTTTCAAGAGATTTCAGGGTCCAATGCACAAAATGCATTGTGTATTGAGGGCAAAAAATCAAAACACTAGGCTAGAAATCTAAGCTGCACAACAAGGAAAAGTGGGACACGTTGTTAAGCAAAAAAAAAAAAAAGCAAGTGTTAAGCATTTAGCAAATAGATTTAGGATGAGTCATACTAGTGATACTTCACAGTAAAAAAACTGAGACGACTTGTCCCAAAACAAATTTAAATAATGTTAAAGTGTGTAGAATCTTTTATGCTCTTGGCTAATTATTTTCTTCCCTTCCCCCTGCACAAACACTGGCATGCAGAGTGAAGAATGCAGCATTGGAGGACTTAGTTCAGAAAGACTATGCAGGGCTGAGGGAAAAATACCTGGCAGCTGCTAAAACGAAACTTCAAAGAATCCGCTCACTTTGAAATCCCATCAGGCAGGACATGTTAACTTTTTAAAAGCCTGTGGGAAACTTAACCACTTCAATGTGCTTAGCAGTTTTCAGGCTTTTCCAAGCAGGTAATTGTGAGAAACTGAAGGATAACAGGAACACCAGGCATCTCTATTTTTCTCTTAGCAAGAAACAATATACAAGCACCAATCGGGCAAAGGGTTGTGGCTTATAGTAAGATGATAAAGCCCAGGAATTAAAAGATATGCCAATAAAGCAAATATTTTGATGTACATTTTCCACTTGTATCTTTCTGGATTTACCAGATCAGGTCTTTTCCTCTTAGGACCTGTTCACAGTACTCTCAGTAGCCAAAATAACTTTGCCAAGACAACTCTGATCTTGCAATTTCCTGTACTGCCTCAGTAGAATTCAGTGAGTGATATGATGAAGCTCCATCAACATGTTGATTCAAATCCACCTCAGCTAAGAAATTGCTGAATGGCTTTTTGTAAAGTACCAAATACCTGACTCATTTTCCATCTTTATAGGAGGCAAACTGTCAGGGGGTCTACAAGCAACAAGTTTTTCAACTAAAACAACTCAGGTTTTAGGTCAAATACTGAGGAGCCAGGAAGGTTCTATGGGGGTGAGGGGTGAGGAGACAAAACTAGAGGATAGATCCACAAATTATTTCAATAAGGCATCAATCATGAATAGCTTTTCAGAATCTACATCTTGTTTTTCTTCTTCGGGAATTTTTCTCTCCACTCCCAAAATATTTCCTTTGTGAATGAGAATGAATTCCTCATCAATACTATTCACCATGTTAGGAAGTACAAGCCTTCTCTACGAGCATGACAGAGAAGAGATGGTTTAACTAAGTTCAAGCAAGAATGGCTCCCTTACATACAATATATCACACAGCAAGGCTGAATTAGCTGGCTGGAATGCAGTTTTGGAACAGAATCTGACAACAATTAGGAATATTTGATGTAAAGTTCAACTATCTAAACTATGGCCCATGGTTGCAGATGCAAATGAAAGAAAAAGGGGGAGTGTAATTCATGTTTTCTTTTCTCTCTGTGGTTTTTATTTTTTAATTTATGTCTATTTTCTTTACATTCCAGTATTTTCTTTATCTGTATTTCAATACTTAATAATACATTTTTAAAAAAAGAGAGAATAGTGTTTCTTTTCTTTGTCAATTCTGCAGCTACCTTGTTTATGTTCCCTGATTGTTCTTCTGAGGAAGGATCCTACTCAATATTTAGTAATAATCCAACCATGATTTATCTATATTGGCCTAGAAACAATGCTTCAAATTTAATGTTATTAAATGTTGCAAAAGTTTCTTCTCACCAGTAGAGATATAGGACAGACCTAAAGAAATGCATGATTCAGTTTTTTACCTCTAAAGTAAAAAGCATCCCTGGAGGAAGAAAATAATTTCAAATAATAGCCACAAAGATGATGATGTGAAAGCAAATTGTAATGTTGTGCAAATGTAAACGATCAATAAAACCTAGGTATATATAGCCTTTGCGGATGATCTGGCCTTTATTTTGGAAGATCCTTTAGAAACAGCTCCAAAATTATTGGAAAAGATAGAGACATATGGTGAGGTGGCTGGTTTGAAAATAAATAAAGATAAAACAAAGATTTTGACGAAGAATAGACAAAGAGAAGA